CCCCCCCCCCCCCCCCTGCGGTGCTTGTGCCCCGAAGAAGAAAACAAAAACATCTTGAAAAAAAACATTTCAAGACTTCTCGCCCTTGTCGGCTGAGCTTTTGCCCCTCTTCTTCTCCTCCTCCGTCAGCCGCGTCTGCAGGGCCCCCTTCAGCTGCGCCCTTCTCGCGCCCGTGATGGCCGACCTGGCCGGCTTCCCTCTGTCCTGGGCGGCGGCCCAGCGGGGGTTGTTCTGCCGCATGGCGTCGGTGGTGGACCTCAGGAGAGAGGCGTAGCAGGGCTCAGCGCGACGCTCTTTCCTTATCTGGGCGTCGAGAAAGGCCAGGTCGTCGTCATCGTCATCGTCGCCGCCGTTGTCGCGGCCGGTATCCTTCTTGGTGATCGTGCCGCCTCCACCCGCCGCCGCCTTCGCCCCTGTCCCTGTCTTTCCTCCTGCTGGTTTTCGTTTGCCCTTCTTGGAGCCTGATCCGCCTTTCTTCGAAGAACCTTTCTTCCCTCCGCCGCCGCCACCGTTCGGGAGATATACTGTGAATCCTCGATCATCGGCTCCCCCACCGTCCGCCGCCGCCACCGCCGCCGCCTTACCCTTGCCACCCGATGTCCGGTTGCACGGTGATGGCGCAGGGGGCCGACGAGCGGCCCGCTCCGCGTGTAGGTGTGCGAGTAGGGCGTTGGTCCCCGTCAGGCCACCAGCACCGCTACTTCTAGCAACAGCAGCGCCGGGACCGACGGCAGCCGAGAGAGACGGGGTGGTGGCCGCGCTCCTCCTTCCGACGGCCGCCGATCTCCCCGCACCCTTGGCGGCGGCCCCGCCTTCGCCTTGGAGGACAGCTGCGCCCCCGCCGCCCGCCGCCGGGGCCTCAGTTGGCGGCGCTTGTGCCCCCTGCTGCCGCTGTGGAGACCCGTCATCGTCATCGTCGTCGTCGCCGCCGCTATCGGCACCTTCGTCCGTGTCCGTGTCATGTTCCGACCCAACCCCCGCGGCCAGGACCGTGAACATCGAACCGCCATCATTCCCCTCCCCTGGAACAACCGCGTCGTTCGTGCTGCTGCTGCCGCCACCACCGTCGCCATCGGCGATGCCCAACGGCTCTAACCCCCTCGCCGCGGGGCCACTGGCGTCGGCGCCGCCAAGCCTCGACAAAACCAAGACCCGCCGGGGGCCTTCGCCCACGCTGACGTGCCCCAGCCCGAGCCACTCCGCGGTCTCGTGCGCCAGCGCCCTCTGTCGCGCCGTCAGCTCCGGCGGGAGCTCGAGTCTTCCCTCGTCGTCGCCTTTCTCCTGCTCGTCGTTGTCATAGGTACGTTCTTGCTCGGCGAACCCCTGAACACGCCGGAGAACCTCCTCGTCCGACAATTTTTCTTCCTCCCCCTCCTCCCCGTACTTTTTGCCCTTTCTTCCGGCAACGCCTCCGGCCGCTGTTCTGCCGACGGCTGCCACCACCACCGCCGCCGCCGCCGCAGACTCCGCAAAATCGCCGTCGGTTTCCGGCGTCAGTTCGAGAGCGCTCCGGTACTCCCCCCTGTCCTCGACGTGCCTCAGGAGGCGGCCGATGAACGGGTCCGACCCGCAGCACTCGGCGTCGCAGACTATCGCCACATGGCGCTTGGCCCTGGTAACGGCCACGTTCAAACGCCGCGCGTCCGCGAGGAACCCCACCTTCTTCCCTGTCAAAAACAACAGCGGGGGGGGGATAGTTAGAGAGAAGCCAAGCTCAGATTCGATTGTTGCCCGCCATGGTCTTGTCGGCAAAGGACAACACACGTGTACTTGCTCCCAATAGGCTACCGCATATGACACGAGATAACACACCCCCTTGACCAATTTTCGAAGCTCGGTTTCTCCACTGCAGAACAGTCACAGCGCCGAAAACGGCGGCGTTGAAACCGTCGCGTCGAGAGCTTTTCGAAAAATTATCGTTTCGTTCAAGCATCCTCTTCTTCGTGGAGTAATCGAGCTTTGAAAGTCGGTCCAGGGGGTGTGTTATCTTGTGTCATATACGGTACGTTGGTGTCATCCGCTGAGATGGCCGGCTTTCTCCAGCATCGCTTTGTACACAGCTGCTGCAAAGAACGGGGAACTTGGAGGGGGGGGGGGGGGGCATACTCTTATGTTTTGCATGCCTTACCGGTTAGACCATTGACCACGCGTCCTCGAGAGGACGGAGCATTGTTCCCACAGGACCGATCACCGATGGCCAATCGTTCCTTTCTACTTTGCCAAAGGTGGCTCAAAAATGTCTTCCCTAGTCTGTCTATCCTAACGATATCCCTTCCCGCCTT